GCAGCGAGCCCCACTGCAGAGAAGAGGGAACTCCACAGAGAAGAAAATAGCAACGAGGCCCCAAAGGTGGAAGTGTAGCCTGAGAAACTTCGGCTACTCTGCCAACTGGTCCTGCCACTCTGTGGGGTGTCAGGCTTTAAAATACTGATATCGGCCAGGTGTGTTGGTACACACCTGTAATCCCCACTACACAGAAGGAGTAGCCATACCCAGAGGGAAAAAGCATGAGATTCTGTCTGAAAAATAAATAAGGCATTAAAAAAAGGACTGGGGCCTGGCTCAAGTTGTACAGTACCTGCCTAGCAAGCATGAGGCCCTGAGTTCAAAACTTCATACTGCCAAAAAAAAAATATTGTTATCCCTCCTAGGGACAGCACTTTCTATAAGCACTTTTACACAGTTTTTGATATGTATCATTTATTCTGTATCATAAGGCTAGGAGGCATGTGCTACTATCCCCTCCACTTTTCAGATAGGAAAACTAAGGCTCAGAGAGGTGAAATAACTTGGCCAAAGACACAAAGGATTCAAATTCTGGGGTTCCAAGGCCCACACTCTGACAGCGGTGACAGGAAGTCTCAAGTGAAAATCAGAAAAGACGAGGTAAAGGTTTTACTCCCTCAATCCACGCTATGGACTGCAGTGGCCTTGCCTCCTCCGTAGTAGGTAATATTTTGGGTTTTCCTTCCTTGCACACAGCCAGGCAAATGACTGCAATTCTAAAAGGAGATAAATATAAAAAACAAGAAGTGAAACAGTGCAGACACCTGAAACCCGACCATTTCTGCAAGCTCGAGCTAGCAGAGCTGCCACACAACAGAAATAGTTCTGTCCTGTTTAGATAGGCTTTGTTTTGCTACATGACTACATATGCAGTGAAGTGATATGAAGTCCTGAGGGTCCCCTCCTTTGATGAGTTAAACACACAAAGGTCTACATTTTGATGTAATCTGATAGCATGTAGTTAAGTCCTAGACAAACTACAACTGTGAGGAAGTGATAAACTCAACTTCCTGCACAAAGCGCCTGAGATAACACTTTCCATGGACTGGAAGAAAAAAAAGAGAGGCATGATTGCTACAGAATTTAAAAGGAACTATTCTGTTCTTAATAAATGATCTCTTTTTCATGTGGTCCCAGTAACCTCTAAGCAAAAATGCTTATGATTCGGTGACTGTGTGGAAATTCCACACACAACTTGCTTCTGACTTTTATTCATAGGCAAGTTCACTCAAGATTCACTTGCTTTTCTCTCTTAACAATACCATGGTTCAAACTAAATCTCAGGTATCTTTTTGACCACAAGAACTTCCCTGAAATTTAACAAGAGCTCAGATTGAAAGAATTGAGGCCACACTGGCTGTCTTGGTGGTATTCTCTTTGGGCTACTAGAGAGACCCCATTCAGTGCAACAACTAACACGTGGGAACAAGTGTCAACTTACTTAAGGACCAATAGCTAGCTGTTTCCACAATGCCAAAATAGGGACAAAGGGACACTGTCACTAAGCATTTGTGTAGGTTGTGTCATATGTACATAACCAATAAAAGCCAGACATGGTAACTCACACTGAATCCCAGTACTGAGGTGGCTGCAACAGGAGGATCACAAGTTCCAGGTCAGCCTGAACTACACAGAAAGATCCTGTCTCAAAATAATAATAATAATAATAATAATATATAAACAACCAGTGAGAACAGAGGGTGTTGAAATTTTCTGTGAATGCATTCATTCATTCATTCACTAATTCAGGAAGTCTTTGTTGAGGGCCTACTATGTGCTAAAGAAATACAGTAGTGAACAAAAAAAGAGATACTCCCTGAATTCAAGGACTTTCTAGCCTAATTATGGGAGGCAAATATTATTATTTTTTAGGTAGGCAAATATTAAAATAAACTCACAAATATATGTATGACCTCAAATTATATCCAGTATGCCGAGAAAATACAGTGAGCTCAATTTTTATTTAGATGAGGTGGCCCTCACAATGATGTGATGTGTAGGCCTGGATCATTGAGTTGAGCAAGAGTGAGGGAAGAGAGAACTGTCTGTAGGAAGGTTCTGAGTGAGAAAGAGTTTGTGCCTACCAGGGAAGCCTGTGTATCCAGAATCAGTGAAATGAAGAGAGCATAGGTGTGGTTACCAGGCTAGACCAAAGGAACAGATCTTATAGGGCCGTTGTAGGGCCTTGTGTAGGAGGTGGGCTTTGTTCTGAGCATGGGGAACATTCCAATACTGCTGACCTCTACTGGTGTTTGGCTTCTAGATTGTTCTCTAGGGAAGGATCACAAGAAAAATGCAGCAGCCTTAACATTCTTTGGGAAAACGGAAGAAAAATTCTTATAAGTAATTTGGGGCATCAAAGGTATTCCATTAAGCCCAAGTCAGTTCAGATAAGTTTCAAAGTAGGATGAGAAAAAATTGTTTATTAAAAATAAACAATTGGAAAGGAAATGCAAATTAAAACCACGCTAAGATTTCACCTCGCCTCTGTTAGAATAGCCATCATCAGCAACACCACCAACAACAGGTGTTGGCGAGGATGCGGGGAAAAAGGAACCCTCTTACACTGTTGGTGGGAATGTAACTAGTACAACCACTCTGGAAAAAAATTTGGAGGCTACTTAAAAATCTAAACATTAATCTACCATTTGATCCAGCAATACCACTCTTGGGGATATACCCAAAAGACTGTGACACAGGTTACTCCAGAGGCACCTGCACACCCATGTTTATTGCAGCACTATTCACAATAGCCAAGTTATGGAAACAGCCAAGATGCCCCACCACTGACAAATGGATTAAGAAAATGTGGTATCTATACACAATGGAATTTTATGCAGCCATGAAGAAGAACGAAATGTTATCATTCGCTGGTAAATGGATGGAATTGCAGAACATCATTCTGAGTGAGGTTAGCCTGGCCCAAAAGACCAACAATCGTATGTTCTCCCTCATATGCGGACATTAGATCAAGGGCAAACACAACAAGGGGATTGGACTTTGAGCACATGATAAAAGCGAGAGCCCACAAGGGAGGGGTGAGGATAGGTAAGACGCCTAAAAAATTAGCTAGCATTTGTTGCCCTCAACACAGAGAAACTAAAGCAGATACCTTAAAAGCAACTGAGGCCAATAGGAGAAGGGGACCAGGAACTAGAGAAAAGGTTAGATCAAAAAGAATTAACCTAGAAGGTAACACACACGCACAGGAAAGGTCCCTTCTCAGGTTAGGACCCAGAGCTCAGAACCTGCATCTAGGTACAAGTGATCTGTGGTCCATAACTTACCTCCTAGGCTAGCTCTCTGCTTATTTATTGAGCTTCCATATTTTGCTTCTGGGATTTTTTTGTTGACATCATTGTGATGAGAAAGTAAATGTCCCAGTCTTGAGAACCTCCCCAACCTGTCAATGAGGACCAAGGGCCTAGAAATCTGAGCTTCAAAGTGCAAACCCAGGTTCAAGTTTGCCCCTTTGAGTCTTCTTAATGTGTTGGGTCTTAATTCTACAACCAAGTGCCCTAAAGAGTTTTAAGAAACAGATTAACACAAATCTTGTTTCTTCTTTCTGTCTTTCCAAATCCAGACACCTCGCATCTCTGAGGACCAGCTCTGTGCAACCCCCCGGCTACCTGGCTGTTAGCTCCATGGTCTCTCAAGGGCTGAGGATGACTAGAGATTTGCTTTTCCTTCTGAGGCTTCCTCAAGTACAGCTGAAGAACTTGCTGGTTTGACATTGAACAAAATGATTTAAGAAGGATGACAGCTCCAAACCCAAAAGGGCCTTGCCTTTGCCACTCAGATATTTTTCCACTTGGTGCTGAGTGGACTCTTGCTTCTGGTGGCTTTCTGACCTCGTTCAGTGGACTTCAGGCAAAATCCTTTACCTCTCTGGGCCTCCTCTTCCCCTCCGATGATGCCCAGGGACCTTGCATTTCTAACATTCTGCATGTCCAAGACAAATTTAAAAAAATGGAGTCTCAACAGAATCTGCCCTTGATACCTCATTTTTCTAAAACAGGAAGGGAGGGAGGAAGACACAGAGAGGGAGAAGAGGGAAAAGGAAGGAAAGAAAGAAAGCAGAGAAGGAAGAAGCAATTAGAGAACAAACTGAGTGGGACGCTGTACTTTCCAAACTACTTTGTAATCTTGATAGAAACATTGGGGTCTTTTTTTTTAATTAGACTATCATTTTTATAATAGCAATCTATAAGAACACATGGGTCAATAAACCAAATTATAAAAGAGTTAAATGTAAATTATACTCATGATAGAACGAAACAGATTATTGTCCATAAATTTTCTTTAGTCCTAAGGCAGAGGATAGTTAGACCTGGACAGGATTAGAACTTTAGATAACCTTTTAAACAATGGCTTTACATATTTACTTTATAAAAGTAGTTTAGGAACCATCTTAAAGATGTCTACATACAGACAGAGAGATGTTTTGACCTAGATATGCCAAAAAATGTCAAATACAAGCATTTGAGATGTGTGATCTCAAAAAGTAAAAATTCAGTGGCTGCAATTAATAGGAAACAAACACATACACAGAAAACACAATGACACAAAACAATTACATTAATTTAGAGTGCACTCTTAAATTATTTTCTTGTCATTTTTAGAAGATTAGTCAGCTAGATTCTTAAATTGCTTATAACAGATTTTTAAAACAAATATCCTAGTCTTTGTCCAATCCTTAACAGATTAATGTAGTAAAACCATGTTAATTTAGAGAATTAAATTACAATTAAATTTAATCACAAGCTCATTATAATTTTCCTAGAGGATGGCAAGCTTGCATCACCCAGATGTTTCCTATCCCTAGGGTGTGGCAAGATGGTGCTGGACACGTGGTGGCTCCATCATGGTGGCAGCATTTTCTGTGACAACATGGTCTCTCCACAGGGTCATTTCTCCTGGCTGGCTTCACCACACTGTTGTTGGTGTATGGTGTCCTGCATGGAAGAATCTATGGTAGGACACATGGATGTAAAGAAACTTTATTAAAAGTTAGGGAAGAGGAATACAAAGAGGAGCATGATGGGTGCAGGTGGAGAGAGCATTAGGCTCTTCTTGTGAATAAGTTAGTGTTTTTTAGCTTTCAAAATGCAGCCCAGTGGTGGATACCTAGGAGCCCTTTGTAGATTTTGAATCTGGACATGAAGAAAGACTTGTACATCAGCAACTTCTGTTTAAGAAAGCAAAGGAGAAAAATTGTTAAAGAAGAGTGACTTTTTTCTATTAAATTTAAAATACTTTCAATTTCAAGGATTTGCGAATTGATGACATTTATGAAAAGTATTGGCCCTAGAGCCTAGCACTTAGCAAGTGCTTGGTAAATGTTGATCATAATGCTTTCTAAAAAGGACTCTTGGTGCAGGCAGCAGAAAGTCTGAATTCTAGACCATCTGACATTAAACAATTCTCTCACCTGTCTGGGTCTGTTTTCTAATTTGTAAGGTGGATGGAGTGGACTGAATAGATGGGCACAGGGCTTTTCCAGCTTGTCTTCTGCATTTCTCTTTCTGATGCATTTGTGTCTCCATATTTGAATGAAGATAGCTTCTTAATGAACAGGGCTTCTCACATCATATTACAAATCACTTACATAACTCCTAGAATGCTTCTCTTTCCTTCCCCAAGTTAGTGAGTACTGGAGCATTAAACTAGATAGGACTAAATGGGATTGACATTTCCCTAAAGAACAAATCGTGGGATTTACAGCCACGTGTCCTGTCATGGATTCTTCCACATGGGACACAAAGAATTTGGAAGTCTTCTAACCACAGACTCCACTGCAACTGCCAATATGTGGCAAAACCAGCCAGGAGAGAGGAGACCCTTTGGAGAGACAAAGTGTTCACAGAAAATGCTGCCATTATGATAAAGCCACCACGTGTCCAGCGCCATCTTGCTACTCCCTAGGGAAAATGTACTTGTTCCCCCATTCTTCTCAAGATTATAAGCTGACTATAACTCCGTGGCCTGAGGTAAAAACTGACCACAAGTGATAGAATAAGAGCCTTTAGGACTCAACTCATGAGGCAGCAGGGCTATTGATCTCTACAGACAAACAAGATCTCCATAAACAACCTAGACCTCCTCAAGGAACCCTGACTGTGCTAGGTAGTAATTCACACACTTTGGTCCAAATGAGTCCCAAGAGAAAGAAGCAGGAGAGACAACTTCCCCTTGTAGGTAGGTTCTGCTGCTCCTTGTCAGCTCAAAGCAAATTCAGAAGAGAAGAGAACTCTAGCCCCTCAGCAACTCAAAAATATTTTTTTGAAATCTTGTCTCTTGGGGAAAATGAGGTAGGCTAAAATTAGGGAATGTTTGGGACTCATACAAAAATATTTCATTTCAGGTTGACCATGCTCTGGCTCAGGGGCCACCCTCACCTGGCCCAGGAATCACTCAGGCCTCTCCCCACACATTGATTATTGGATGGGAGTCACCTGGTTCCTCCTTCCATGGGCTAGTGTAAGTTTTAAATGCACCTGGGGAAGAGAAACATACTCTCTTGGTCTCCAGATTCCACTGGGCCCCACCATGCTCCCTTTTATACCTTCCTTCCTAACTTTTAATAAACTCCATTTACACCCCTCCCCCCAAAAAAAGAACAAATCATGGGGACAAATTTTGAGCAACAAATTTAACTGAAAATCCTCTTGAGAAATGACAATGTAGGGACTCGGGTTCTAGTATTGCCTTGTGACATTGGAGGACTGTCGGTTTCCTCAAGCTCTTGCTGGCTCTTAATTCACAACATCCGTTGGAGACTAGAAACTTCCTCTACCTAGCTTTCAAACATCCTTGGGAGACTGACATTTCCCTGAGGGCTTTTCTTCAAGTCACACTGTTTTTGCCTTCCCAAACTATGTCAACGCATCTGTTCTTACTGAGGTTAAAAAGCTTTATCAACCCAACAATTCTCCAAAAGGAAGAGGGAAAAAAAAAAATCTATTGTGCAATGTAAAAAAATTGGCAAATCTTATGAAAACACATTCTTAAAACATCTCTCATTTCTGAGAAATAAAGTAAAACATATGAATTGTTTTTTGTTTTATGGCTAACAAAATGATTCATTGCTACAATGTGGTATTTTGACCATATCTATATAAAACAAGTATGAACATTCAATTGAAAAAATAAAAATAACTCAATTAGAAAAGCAAACCTTGACTGAGTACCTCCTCTGAACTTTGCCTCAATAAACTAGGCAAGTTGTCATGTACCATTTTAAGCTACTAGGCATTAATTATGACTTCTACACAATAGCCAATTTTTGTTTCATTTTTGGCAGTACTGAGCTTTGAACTCAGTGCCTCACACTTGCTAGGCAGGTGCTCTACCACTTGAACCACTCCACTAGTCCACAATAGCTTTCTTTACCAGCACTTACCTGAGTCATCTAACACAGTAGCCACTAGCCACGTACAGCTAGCAAATTGAGATGTGCTCTAAGTGTAAAATATACACTGGATTTAGAGGACAGAACAAAAAGGAAGAAAAAGAAGGAAGAAAGAAGGGGAAAACTCTCATTACTAATTTTATATTAAAGTGATGCTATTTTACATATATTGTGTTTAAAATACATCATTGAATTAAATTAACCTGTTTCTTCTCACTTGTTAATGTGGCTACTAGAAAAAATTTTTTCCATGATGCTGAGGTTGGCTACTGGAAAATCTAAAATTACATATGTGACATCCATTTATGGTCTACATTATATTTCTTTGGGGGGTAGTACTGGCCTGTTATGTAGTTATTCTAAGATAGAGGGTGCACTTACAATTTCTTAGTCACAAACATCCTATTCTTATTACAAAAAAAGATTCTCTCTAACGTGGTCTTTTAGATCTGTAACTAGAAACTAAATTCCTAAAAGTATATCCGACATGGTACATATTTAAAAATTTTAAATTGAAAAATGAAAAGATACTTATATTACATTGAGTGGGTTAAAAAACAGTGTAGAATGAAAAATTTATTAACTCATAATTACAGAAATAAAATTGAGAAAAAATATGGGGAATAATGAGAAGTTTGATGATACCCACAGTTGGGGTATCAGAGGGGAAACACATTTTCATATGCTATTTGTGAGAATATAAATTGGTACAAGCTCTTCAGAAGACAATTTGGCAATAGGTATCAAAATTTAAAACACACTTACCCCTTGATCCAGGATTTTCATTTGGGGGTATACAATTATACTGACACATTTATGCAGAGATGTGTCATGAAGATTTTGTGATAGTGAATGATCTAAAGGTCCATAAGTAGCTATTTGGCCCAAATGCTCCCATATTTTATACACTCACATATTACAGTACTATGCTAATATTTTTGGCCTCGATATTATTACTACTAGTATCGTTGTTATGAAGAAATAGCAAATGAATGGCTAGGGATATAGCTCAGTGGTTGAGTGTTTACCTATCATTTACAAAGTCCTGAATTCTAACCCCAGTACTACAAAAAGAAAAAAAAGAATAAATGACAAATCAGTTCAGGAATTAGTTGTTTACTCTGCATTATTATCTGAGATTATGTCTTCTGCCATCAGATGGAAAGTTCGAAACAATCATTAAGTTGAATTATGGAAAAAAAAAGAAAAGTTTATATTTTTCTTGATCAATTGAATTTGGAGGGTCTACACATTTAGACCTACAAAGAGTATTGAAGACTAGAAAACACTTCATGTAAGGGCCTGGCACTCATTAAGTACCCAGTAAATTCTTATTATTTATTGTCATTATTAGTCATAATATTCAAGATAGCCAGGTGCAGGGGAGCGTGCCTGCAATCCCAAGACTCAAGATGCTAAGACAGGAGAAGCTCGAGTTCAAGACCAACTTGGGCTATATAGAGAGACCCTGTCTAAAAACAAAAGCAAACAAACAAACAAAAACCCTCAGGTTAAAAGGGATGTAAATAAGGAAGTGACAGCAGAGAAAAAGAGACATGTGTGAGCTATTGAAGAGGTAGGATGAGCAGGACTCCATGACCAGAAGGGAGTGGGGTCCGGAGTGGAGACCAATAAGCTAGCACTTCCAGGGTAATTTCCAGGGCAGGCAGGAGGAACCAGTCTGAGACCAACACTTTGGAGAAGTGACAGCTATTCAGTTTGGACACTATACATATAAAGTGACCTGTGACTATTCTAATATGAGCACTGGTAACTGGATCTGTCCCTCCAGAACTCAGGACTGGGCCAGAGAAAAGTCTTTGAAGGTGGTAGTTAACATAGCTTGGGTGAAATTTCTCTGGAGAGGCTGAGACAGGGTTCAAGGAAAGCAATGTTTAGAAGATATTATTAGTTGAATTTATGTCTTCTTTAAATCTGTATGCTGAGGTTCTAACCTCAAAATGGGAGCTTATGTGGAAATTGGGTTGATGAAGATGTCCGTCATGTAAGATGAAGATATGGAGGGGTGGCCAATCCAAGATCACTAGTGTCCTGAATAAAAGGAGAAATTGAGAGAGGCATGTACTCAAGGAGAATGTCATGAGATAAGGCAGAGGTCAAGGTGAGGCTTGGACAAGCCAAGAAACCAACCTGACTGTCACATCAGTCTCCAGCTCCCATCCTCCAGTTACTGCAGCCCTAGAAAACAAGACAGATGTGACATCACTATGACAAACAAAATCGAATGTTCTCAAGTGGTTAAGCAGGGAACAGAAAAAATGACTCTGGTAAGGCAAAGCAGACACTATATCACTTGAGCCACAACTCCAACCCTCTCTCTCTCTTTTTTTTTTTTTTTTTTTTTGGACAGAGTCTTGCTCTGTTCCCAGGCTGGTCTTGAATTCTGAGACTGCAGAGATCCTCTCACCGAGGAACTTTGAAGCAAAGATTGCTTGTTCAAGGAGTACTACATTAGGCAGACATGGCCAGGCCTATGTTCACAGTGCAAGGTCTTTAGCTGGGGCCTGCCCAGAAAGAGTACAGCCTCATGGAAAAGCTAGGGTGGATTCCAGTTGTACCCTTCCCGGTTGATTGTTAAGTTCTTTCTTGCAGGGAGAACTGAGTGACACACCTCCATGGCTCCTGCTCCTAACACCTGCTTTCTTCTCTCTAGGAATGCTGGGAATTTAGAGAACTATATGAAAGAACCCATTCTTCTGTCCCTTTACTATGGGTTATGTGCTATGGCACCTACTCTGATCTAAATTTACTTGATCAAGTGATCCCAAGTCTACAGAGATACATAAAGTAGCTGTTCCTCAAAATAATCATTGTTAGAGGTTCATATTGTAAATATACATGTAGAATTCCAATTCTCTAGCAAACATCAACTCTTATGAACCTGACACTGCCTCTCAAGTTTTACACCAACACCTGAAGGAAGCCTAACAGCTCATACTTTGTATGCATGGCAACATCCCAAAATGGCCCAGCCATTTCCTGATGGAGCAACATATCAGAAGGGCACTACAGCTGAAAGAAGCTCATTGATGTGGCTCCTTGCCTCTTATGCCACTGTCTCTGTGCTAGCAAATCCAAATTGAGGAGAAAGAATGATCATTCCTTTTATAAACTGTTAAGCACCTAATAGTGTATCAGGTACTAAAGTTAGAATGGTTGTGTGGTTTTAAATTACATATATAAATTATTTTATAATCCTCTCTTAACACAATAGACCCTAATTCCCCTTCCCTTGAGTGTGAGCTAGATTTAATAACTCACTTGTAACAAACAGAACGTGACAATAGTGATGGCATTTGACTTCTGACAGTAGGTCATGAAAGACACAGTGTCTTCCACCTGTGTCTGTTGGATGACTTCTACATGGTAACTGATGTAGTAACATGTAGGAAGGACATTCAAGCAGCTCTATGACAGACCCATGTGATGATTCTCTGCCCAGTGGGTCCTCGAGCTTCGGTCAAGCCTTCAGATAACTACAGCCCCAGCCAACATTCTGATTTCAACTTCATGAGGGACCCCCAAGCCACAGCCACCCAGGCAAGCTACTCCCAGATTCCCAACCCACAGAAATGGAGATAATAAGTGTTTAGTGTTGTTTTAAGCCACCAAGTTTTGCAGTAATTTGTTATACTGCAATAGACGATATAGACAAGACAGACTCATCTGGCAACAGACAATAAACTGTTATTGCACAAATGTAGAAATAATGTGAGTAAAATCATGCCCAGTGCCCAGCAAATCCACACAAATCCACCAACAAAGAATGCAGGAAGGAAACATGGCATACTATTGTACTGGTTGTGACTGGAGTATCAGTTTGGAGTCACTTTGCCACCCAGTGCTACAGCACGTGTTTATGCTGTGATCAGCAGAGAGACTGGCAAGTGCTGGTAGACTCTGGAGATGTAAGACCAAGTAGATTCAGGTGAGAGTGGGTGCCATGACAACCCAACACCCCCCCCAAAAAAATAAATCATAGTGAATAGAAAGCAGAAGCCAAGAATCTTATGGGAAAGTTGGTTTGGTGTACAGAGAGCATAGAACAAAGAGAAGCAAAGACAAGAGATCATGCATGTATCCCCTGGGAGACAGAGGCACAGAGATAGCCTGACAACTAACTGTCCATTTCCCGTAGGCCAGCAGACTTCTGGATTGTATTCCATGAGGTTAAATAAATCTCCTTTTACTTAAGCTAGCTAGCTGAATGGATTCAGTCATTGCATTCAAACAATCTCTAAGTTACTCCACTCCAGCCTCCTACCTGGTCTCTCCATCTCCACTATCTGTCCTCTTCAGTGAACTCCACATGAAAAACCTGAGAGGTCTTCTTCAGTCACACCACTCCTCTCCACCTTCTCCCACAAACCTTGGGGAGGTCCCCACTCCTACAGGCCCAGCATTCATAGCTCTCCTCAATCTAGCTGCAACTCACCTTTTCATCAATCCCCTACTTACACTCCATCTCTAGACAAACTGAAAAGCCTGAAGTTCTGCTAATTGGCTTGCCTTTCAGCCTTCAAATCCTTTGTCTAGTCATTCTCTCAGCTTAGAAGCCCATCCTTCCCTTCGCCTACCTCTTTTTATTCTTGCTACACAGCAAAGATGGTCTTAAATTTGTTTCATGAAACTGTTACTAGTCCCTTAAGTTGGCACAGTGTTTCTGTCCTCTGAATGCCTTAATCATGGTATTGGTAGAAGATAAGTCCTTTTGTGACTATACAATAATCACATAGGTACATAGCCCCTCATCTCTCCCAAGCCCACAAACTTCTTGAAGGTTTTCATCTTGAATCAGCTTCCTAAGTCACTTCTTTTTCCATTATCTTCCCTGCCTAAATGAGCTCTGACCTACGACTGCTGTGTACTGATGCCTCAAGCCCAGGCCTCCCCTCTGAACACCAGACCTCCACTCTCCCCACCTGTCTATGTGGTTCACCACAGAGATGGCTCCAGTCTTCCCACACTCACTGTGTTCAGTAGGAAAGTTTTCCTTTCACAGTAATTGCCATCTCCACCACCAAACAGCCACCCAACTCTGCAAACCAGGATCTAGGAGTCAGCCCTCCTTGAGCTGTCCCACCCACCCATCACGCTCTGCGTCTAATCCATCACCTGATCCTGTAGATTTTACCTTCTAAATAGCATTCAAACCCCATGACTTCCCTCGATCTCCACAGTCATGCTCTCAATAGAAGCTATCATCTGCTGTGTATCCCAACTTGGCTCTTCACATCAGCTCTAACCTCATATCCATAATCCACTCATCCATATAATTAGAACGGCATTTGGCTTTTTAAACTCAAATCTGGCCAGGTCACCTCTACAAGTTGAGAGGCAACTTTCCATTGTTTTTAGGATAAAGGCATAAACTTGATTATAAACTGACCATAGGGCCCAGTGTCATCTGGTCCCTATTTGTCTCTTCCACCTGATTTTGTGCCACTTCTCTTTTTTGTTTTTTTGAGGTACTGGGGCTTGAACTCAGGACCCACACTTTGAGGCACTCCATCAGCCCTTTTTATGTTAGGTATTTTCAAGATAGGGTCTCAAGAACTACTTGTCCGGGCTGGCTTCGCACCACAATCCTCATGATCTCTGCGTTCTGAGCAGCTAGGATTACAAGCATGAGCCACCAGCACCCAGCTTTATGCTACTTCTTTACTCTCAATGTTTCAGTCACAGGGGACTACTTTCAGTTTCTTAGAAAGATTTTAAAAGCCTTTACAAACGCTGTTTCTTCTTTTCACTACACCTACTGCCTTTGCCTAATACATTTCTGTTCACCTTTCTAGTCTCAGACCTCAGCTCATCGGTAAAGCCTCCCCAGACCAGGTCTGGTCACTCCTCTTCAAGTCCTCAGTGTTCCCTGTATTTCCTTCCTTTTATGTAGATTATTACATAATTATATATTAAATAGGCAATTATTTGAGAGTACAAATAAGGACTATGCTGCTCCAGCACATAGGTAGCACAGAGCTGCTCAACAAAATTTGTTGAAAAAGGGAAGGTGGAGGGAGGAAGGGAGGAAAGGAAGGAGGGAGAAAGGAAGGAAAGAAAGGAAGGAAAGAGGGAATCCTAGCTACTTAGGAGGCTGAGATTGGAAGGATCATGGCTCAAGGCCAGCTGGGCAAAAACTTTGCAAGATCCCCATCTCAACAGTAGCTGGGTGCAGTGGCATATGCCTGTCTTCCCAAGCTATGTAGGAAGCTAAGATTGGGAGGATCGCAGTTCCAAGGCAGCCCAGGCACAAAGAGTTTGTGAGACCCTATCTCAATGAAAAAAAGTTAGGCACAGTGGTGCACGCCTTTCATGCCAGCTACAGCACAAAGCATAAAATAGGAGGACACAGTCCAGAGAGGCCTGGGCAAGAAGTGAGATCCTATTTCCAAAATAACCAGAGGAAAGAGGGCAGGAGGGTGGCTCAAGTGCAACAACCCCGCCAAGAAGCACTGTGTTTAACCACAGTACTGGGAAGAAACAAAAAACACCATTGACCTGGATGGAGCCTATCTGCTCTCTAGGGCAGTTCCCCCATTTCACAAGGGATGGGTGCTGTTGCTGCTAGGGTTGTTTTGTTTGTTTGTTACAGCTGACTTCCCACATCCAAAGTCACACCATTCCAATCAGAATTATTTCTGATTCTCAAACTTGCCATGTTCTTTTTCTTTGTTATCATCAAGCATGTGTCAGCTGGAACCTGGCTGAATTCCTCTCCTTGATGCCTGGATGAATCTCCTCCATGTTGGTCACTTTACTCTGCTCCACAACCCTTTCTCCCATAGATGTCTCCCCTGGCCTCCCTCCCCACTCCTCAGCACCTGCACACACAGCCCCCAGGCCTGTCTGCACTTGGTAATGTACGATTCTAGACCTCTGATGTCATCTCAGAGGCTGTCTCTCCCAGCTACCTTTGTAAGCCACAGGAAACACAGGCAGTCCTGGTCACCTCTAAAGGTTTGGAATGAGAAGGTCTGGATTACTGTCACTTACTGTGTGTCCTTTGAAAAATGACTTAACATCATTGAGCCTCAGACTCTGTAGCAAGGACAACTATCTACTTTATAAGGGTGATACAAGAATTTAATGAGATAATGTATCACAAAGTACTGAGTGGTATTAAATTTCACAGTAGCAAGGTCAGGGTTCAGTATGGACTTGTTATCAGTTTGTCACTGCTCTCCTGTCTTCCCCGAAGAAAGTCTCACTCATGTCATTGGTCAGACCTGGGTGCAAATCCCTGAGTTCATCCACTGACCTATACAGCCTTGAGCAATTCCTATGACTTCTCTGAGCCTCCGGGAACAAAGCCTGGCTGTGGGCTTTATGTTTTCTTATGACTGAAGAATTTCCTTATGAATGAACACAGGGATAATAAATCTTCTTTCACAGGAGTTAGTAACTCCTGATTTTTACAGGAGTTAAACAATCATGGGACCAAGCTATGTCCCCCTTCCTCAGTTTGATTGATGAACTAGTTACCCTGGGAATAAAGATCAAGACTCTTAAATTCACACGGTATCTTGTTTCTTATCGTATTTCTTATTTCTTTTAACAGCTCTTAGAGGAGCATGTGGTGGATACAGAACTCTCTCCTCAGTCCTAGTTCACATAGGCAGATATCCCCTTTGTTAAGTTGATTTGAAGACTGTGGCTTACATGGGACCAAGAGCCTCCTCATACCAAACCCAAACCCAAGTTAGGCAGACCTACAGACTCTGGAGCACCGAGCAGTGAAGGCCTTCCCCTCCCCACCCAGCAGGAAGCCGGGTCCCTGGAGAGACAGAACAAAAGGTGTAGTGAGAGGACAACGACTAGTACCCTTCCCCTCCCACTCAGGTGGCCACTCCATCTTCATCTCCGCAGGGGAACTGTGAAGGTGAGGTGGAGGCCAGAGATATTTAGGGAAGAGCCCTCATCTTAGAAACAAAAGTGGGGAAGAAGCCTAGCTGCCTAGCAACCTAGAGATGAGATCTGAATGGCACGAGCACGCTCAGTGCCCTGAAAGAGCACAGAGGGACATCAAACAGCAGAGAGAGCCAACCTGGAGCCATGCTGCCTGGCTTTTTGCTGTGGTGGTGGTATTGGGGTTTGTGCTCTACCACCCGGCCAGCGTGTGTGTGTGTGTGTGTGTGTGTGTTGTGTGTGTGTGTGTGTGTGTGTGGTGAGAAAACCTAAAATCTACCTTTTGGACAAATACCAGTACACAATACAACATTGTATTGTTGTACATTAGATCACTAGACTTAGTAATCCTATGTAACTGCAACTTTGTAAGTTACAGTCACCTGTAAAACACACAGTATGTTTGTGAGGATGAAATGAAAGAAGGTCTATAAAATGCTTAAACTAGAAAAGCATAAATGCGAATATCATGAAGTGAGGGGCTTTGTCTTACAAAAACCTCCTTAGGTTACAAAGTGAACTAAAGCCAGGTGCAGTGGCTCCCACCTGTAATCCTAGCTACTCAGGAGGCAGAGATTTGTCAGGGAAAGCCTGGTCAAAAACTTCAAGAGATCCCCATCTCAGCCAATTAAAAAAAAAAAAAAGCTGGGTGTAGAGGTGCACGTACAGCCCAGCTATGGGTGAAGCATAAACAGGAGGGCTGTAGTCCAGGTTAGACCAGGTAAAAACCTGAGAACTTGTTCAAAAAAGAACTAAAGCTCTTTGAGCTGGGGAATGGTTCAAGTGGTAGAGCACCTGCCTAATAAGTGCAAGGTCCTGAGTTCAAACCCCACTACCACAAAAAAAAGGAAGTGAAGTAAGACACCATACTGGTCAACAGTTGCAAACCAATTGTTTCACTTAAACCCAAAGCAAAATAATAATAATAATAATAATAATAATAATATAATAGAAGTGAACTAGTGAACTCCTGGCTATACTAGTGATCTTAGAACCATGAAAACAATCTCTTAGAGTATGTTAGCTTTCCATCACTGTGACAAAATACTTGAGGTAAACAAAGTATTCAGAAGAAAGTTTTATTTTGACTCACAGTTTCAGAAGTTTCAGTCCAAGGTCACTTAGCCCCGTTGTCATTCTGCCTGTGGCAAAGCAGTATATTGTGGTCACCCTCATGACCTAACTTCCTTCCTTCAGGCCCCATCTCTTAAAGGTTCCAGCACTTCCCAATAGTGTCACAGGCTAGACCAGCATATGGGCCTTTGGGGGACCTTTAAATCTAAACCATGACTCCAAGCCACCACCTCCTCTCCCCAATTTCCACAAAATTACAGTCTTCATGTTGAACTGAAGTTTCAGCCATCCGGCTCCCTCCAAATGCTATTACAAACAATTTTCTCATTTTAGTCTTTTTTGGATTATCCTCTTTTTTAATTTTAATTTTTTTTTTTTTGGCTGTACTGAGAATTTGAACCGAGGGCCTCACTCTTGCTAAGCACTTCCACTTGAACCATGCCTCCATCTCTTTTTAGTTATTTTTCAGTTACAGTCTCATGCTGCCTCCCACCGCCCCCAGGGGCCGGCCTCCAACTGGGGGCCAGCCTCCAACTGCAATCCTCCTACTCTGCCCCCCAAGTCACTAGGGCATGGATTATTGCCCTCTCTGTGACAGCTGTGAGGAGATTGTCAAAGAAAAAGACCCTTATGAGATTTTAAAATATATAATCTTCTGTCAGTGCTTCTGCTAAGCAGTGAAGTTGTCAGAGATAAAAGGCCATGGCTGGTCTGGGGCTTGTGACATAAGTGTGAATTGAGACTTACTAACAGGAAGGAGTCATCCTTAGGTGCCCAGCCCAAGGAAAATTACTGCCTATCAGGTATGTACTACGAAGGCTGTGGGTGTTTAAGGGAGAAGAGCTGAGAATGATTCCAATTCGGAGGAGACTGCACATACCTTCTTCTTTCTGTTTTCTTTTTTCTTTCTTTCTTCCTTTTTGCTGTTGTTGTTGTTGTAGTGCTGGGGAGCAAACTCGGGACCCTTTGCCTGCTAAGCAAGTGCTCTACCACTGAGCAACATCCCTGGGCCTTGTTTTGCTATTGTTGTTGTTTTGCTTTTGTTTTTTTGAGACAGGCTGACCTCAACTCATAATCCTCCTGCCTCAGCCTCCTGGGTGCTGGGAGCATAACCGGTTGGAAATACTTGAATAGTAGGCTGACATCTGTGTTGTGGGTACCCAGGTCATGATACAGAGCTAACTGAACAGATCTCAACTCCCAAAACAGATGTGTACAAGGTAACCTTTGAGGGCTTCAGAGTCAAACAGGCAAGGGTTCAAGCCCTACTTCAGCACTCCTTTGCTATATGACCTTGGGATACTTAACTGCCAGTGAGTAAAAGTGAGCTGGTAATGCCTACTGTATAGGAAGAGGATTAAGTAAAACCCTCATCCACAGATCTGGGCTCACTAAACGAAAGCTCAGCAATACTACCAGACATAGACACAAAAAGGAAAGCAGCAGATGTGTTTCCCATGGAAAACTTCTGGTGTGTTCCTAGAGGGCTATGCAGGTGTTAGTATCTCCTTCATCACTGCGATAAGTGATTGAAAGTTAACTCTAGAAATGAAGTCTAAGAAATAAACCACCTAGAAATTGGTACCCATTCCCATGCTTTCCATGTACACACGGACAGGATGCTTCTCGAGTCACAATATGTACCCTAGAAAGTCTGTGCTTTGACCTGCCATGAGCCAATGCTTCCATTCTTACTGCCATCAAAACCTTAGGACGCTTGCAGCTCGTGCCATGCTTTTGTAGCCCATGATCCATGGCCACAGTGGGAGGGCACGTGGGGGAAGCCCCTTCCTCAGGGTTCCAGAGCCCAACTGTGCACGTGGAGCCTGGGCTGGATTTCAGCTTGGGCCAGCTCTCCAGTTGTTACTGTGCAGTGATAGCCACCCATGTGAACACAGCAGCCCTGCTAGGCTGTCAGAGTAATTTTGAATTACGGAACTTTTTTCCCTCTGTCCAATCAGAGATGAAAGCAGCTTTGCTCCAGAGGCATCCTGAAACAGGCAGAGAGGAGAAGGCCAGAGGAGAAAGCTCTGAAGAGTGGAGCTGACTGTTTCAAGCCCTGCTCCACCTCACTGCCCTCCTTCTACAGCCACAGGGTCACCCAAAGCCAAGAGTGTGTTCACATCGGATGGATTCAATCACATACGATCTCAGCTAATGCTGGAGGACCTTACTGGACTTTCATCTTCAACAGTGGGTCAGTACTTACTTGGTTCATGGTTGTTTCCCGCAGATCTTCACATGGTGCTTGATAAATTAAAAAGTGTTCAATGAGGCTGAAATGGAGAGCTTGCCTAGCATGTGTGAGGCCCTGGGTTCAAGCCCCAGCACCACACACACAAAAGTTTCACTAAATACTTGCTGCTGGCCAGGTGCCGGGGGCTCACACCTGTAATCCTGGCCACTCAGAAGTCAGAGATCAGGAGGATGGCAGTTCAAAGCCATCCCAGGCAAACAGTTCAAGAGACCCTATCTCAAAAATACCCAACACAAAAAAGGGCAGGCAGAGTGGCTCAAATGCTAGTGCACCTAGCAAGCATGAAGCCTGGAGTTCAAACCCCAGCACCACACATATAATACTTACTGCTGAGTTGATTTTTAAACAGGGGGATAATTAAGCTAATTGCTGCTCTCCTTTCATAGTCCAAGAGCAGTTTGTTTTACTTTACAACTTACATACCACAAAAATGCTTCAAGTGTTTAACAAAAAAATCGTGGCCAGGCTTGGTGATACACACCTATAATCCCAGCACTCGGGAGGCCAAGGCAGGAGGATCACAAGTTCCAGATCAGCCTGGGCTACATAGTGAGATGCTGTCTCAAAACAAAGAAAGAAAGAAAAACATTAAAAATTATTTTAAAAATACAAAATACATAGATACGGAATAGAGAGAGCGGTGGGAGAGAATTGCATTTGATAAAATCTACAGTGAGCAGCGTTTGGGAGTTAAGAGCACGAACTTTGAAGTCCAAGATTTCCGCCCACGAAGCTGGGACGGTGCACAGTAATTAACTGTCTCCTTGTCCTCATGTCTACAATGGGGCTCAGGATGGCCTCCTTACAGGCTCTAGGTAGGACGCAGTGACAATATTTCTAAGAAACGTTTAGCACAGTTTCTGGCCCAGAGTAGACACTCAATAAATGGGAGGTGATGTTTCTGTGCCCGCAAAAGTCTAGCAAACTTGTAAATAAAATAAAAACATCACACAAGTGTGGCAAAACCTTAACTACTGATGATTCCAGGGGTGAACTTATAGAAGCTCACTGCGTTGTTTTCTCTGCTTTATGTACATTTGTAACTTTTCATAAGTTTATTTGTTTATTTATTTTGGTGGTGCTGGGGATTGAACTCAGGGCCTCTACCTTGCTAGGCAAGTGCTCTACCATTTGAGCCACACCTCCAGTCCTTTTGGGTTTTTTTAGTTTCTCAGATAGGGTCTCACGCTTTTTCTGGGACCAGCCTTGGCCTGAAATCCCGCTACCTTCGCCTCCCTAGTAGCTGGCATTACAGATATGAATCACCATGCTTGGACCCTAGCTTTTTAAGTTATAAAGCTGAAATCCGCAATTCCCTCCAAACCAACCAAATATCCAACCAAGTCTTCATCCAGTCTCTGAACAAATATTTATTAAACACTGTATGCCGGGACTTTGTTTGCTATCACAGGGCGATGCTGAAGTCCCTACCCTCAAGGAGCTTGTAGTCCAGTTGGAAGACGGACATTAGACATGTAATCATGCAAAATACATATCACACAATGCAAGTTACAGAGAATGCTCCAGAAGTGATCTGGCTACAGTGACAGTGAAGAACACTGCTTAGAGAAGAAAGTCAGGAAGATCCCTCTGAGAAGTGACACAAAAGCAAACACCTAAGAGGCTGAGCTGGATACAGAAAGGGGGAGAGGGCACCCATGTGGTTGGCCATGATGTGCAAAGGTTCTGAGGCAGGAATGGAGAGAAGACCAATGTGGCTGGAGCACAGCACAAAGACAAAGATGACTCAAGAGGAGGCCAGAGAGCTGGGCAGAGCTTCAGAGGCTTTGTCAAGTTCAGAACTTTATGTGTCAGGAAGCCTCAAAAAAGGAATAACAAACCCAGAAGTCCACTTTAAGAAACTGTTGCATGGTCACATAGAACAGATTGAAGGGGGCATGTTTGGATCTGTGTGGAAACTCTACAAGGATACACGAGATGTGAGTAGCAGTGACTCCTCTGAGGGTTAGAACCAGGAGAGAGAGAGGCTGAAGGCAGACTTACTTGAACTCAAGGTCTATACCTGTAGCCATTCTTCCAGCCCTTTTTTGTGAAGGCTTTTATTGAGATAGGGTCTCACAAACTATTTGCCCAGGTTGGCTTTGAACCGCAATCCTCCTGATCTCTGCCTCCTGAATAGCTAGCGTTACAGGCGTGAGCCACCAGCACCCAGCCTAGTGGCAAGTTCTTTAGCCTTCACCTTTTCTGGTGTGACAATGTGAGCCACAGATTTTAACCCTTCCTAGTACAGCAGATCTCACTGTAGCTGTCACAGTCATGGGTCTCCATAAGCTTCCACCAGCTTAGGCAGAGCATCTTCTCTTCCAAGCTAACCTGTGCAGGGTGGTGCACGTCTTCCTGTGGGCAGGTGTATCTCGATGATACAGTAGGGAGCCCCATCTTACAACACAGGGCAAGCAGGAAGACAAGCAGCATGATGGGACAGGCCATGTGTGGCCACCAGTACCTGAGCTTTCTTGTTCTCCGCCAAAGTGGAGGTATTATTAACCCCTGCCGAAGGGCAGCAGGGGTTCTCTTAGTGGGGATGTCCCTTAGGCCATGCCAACAGCTTCTTCTCAGCCAGGACCAACAGTCTCCACCTCACCTCTCTCTCTCTTTCTCTTTCTCTTTCTCTCTCTCTCTCTCCCTCCCGCTCCCTCTCCCTGGTGGTAGTGGTGGTCCTGGGGTTTGAACTCAGGGCCTTGTGCTTGCTGGGTAGGCACTGTCCCACTTTAGCCATGGCCCTACCCCTTTTCGATTTTTTTGGCAGGGCTTTGTACTCTTTGACTATGGCTGTTCTCAGAC